AATAAGGTTTAAAAGTTGCTATTTTGCTTTATTTTTATTAAAATACCTTTTTTAACTTTGTTTTTATATTGTTTGCGGCCCGTAATTGTTAACCTTTTTTAATTGTTAGTAAAAGCTTTTATTAAAAGTTATTTTTTTTTTAATTAATTTTTAAATTATGCTTTTGTAATTACGGAATTTCGAAAACCATATTTTCGTTCCGTATTTCCAACGCGTTTAACGTTATTTAAAAAGTTTTATTTTAGTATCGGAAATTAAAATAATTAATTTTAATATCGATCCATTCGTTATTGTATTTAATTGGTTTTTTTTTATTATCGTAAAAAAATATAGCTTGTTTTTTTTGCGTATAAGAATACCGTATCGTAATATTGTTTGTAGCGATACGTAATTGCTTTAAGCATTGCAATTAATTAAGGTTTTTAAGCAATAAGGGCTTTATTGCACCCGTATATGGAAATGTTACTTATTCGGGCTAATCGTTGCTATTAAGGTTTTTATTGCAAATAATTATCCTTTTTATAACTTTGGTATAAATAAATTTTTTAATTTTTTATTTCGAAATGCTCCGTTTAAAGCTTAAATGGGTTTATTTTTTATTTTTTGTATACCTTTATATATTTCGGGTTGTTAAGGTTGTTAAAAAATTTATACAAATTTTTTACGTTTTCGTTATACCGTATTGGTATATATAAAAGCTTGTATCCCGTTTGCCATGCTTTGGCTTTTTGCATGGTATGGATTTAGCATTCCAATTTTTTGCATTTTTGCCATTTTAGGATTTTGGCAACGCAAAGCATGGGTTATTAAAGGTTGGATTGAAACATTGCCGATTTTCCGTACCTTTTGGTAATAAATTATTTAAGTAATTGCTATGTTAATTTAAATTTAATAATTGGTTTATTAATTTGTTAATAAAAAAAATTTTGCTTTAAAGCTTTTAAATTAAATGCATTGCATAATTTATAGCAAAACATTCCTTTTAAAATAACCATAAATGCTTTTGGTAATTGGGCATAAAGCTATTATGGTTTTTTCTTTTGGTATTATTTCGTAACCTTTTAACCCATTTTTAATTATACGCTTGCAGCCGGGTGTACTTTTGGTACGTAATTAAATGGTTGCTACCAAACCAGTTAATAAAACGTTTAAAATTGTTTTTGGCTAATGTAACTTCGTAAAAAATACCGTTTTCGTTTAGCAAATTAACGTTTTAAAAGCGCCGTTGGATTTTGGCTTTGCTTTAAGCTTTTTTCCTTTTTTAAAATTGCTTAATTACGGTTTTCGGGCGTACCGGGTACAAACCTTTTTTTGCTTTTGCATTGCAAACCCGCTTTACCGGAACGTTTTGTAATTAATTTAATTTAGCATTGCGGCGTGCTTATATGCCAAACCGTTGGTTTTAACCATAACAAATTGGTTATAATTCGATTCGTTTTTTTTTAGCTAACGTTTAATTTGCGTTTAAAAATTTTGCAAATTAATGCTTTGGTTACGTTTTAATTTATACTTTTGTTAATACCGTTTTTGGTACGCCGCTTGTATGTATTTTTGCGAAACGCGGGCGTTTTTAACGTACCGGCAAAAGCTGCTTAAGCTTTTTTCGTTGCTTTTTTTTCGAATTCGTTGCTTTTAAACGTTATTTATTCGTAAAAACTTTTGCTTATTATTTAAGCTTTAATTGGTTTGAAAATAGCAAAGTTTGGGTTTTAAAAATTTTTTACAATATCCCCCGTAATTAATTCATTTCCTTTTTCGTTGCTTTTTAATTTAAAGTTAAAAATTAAACTAAATTTAACCCAAAAACCTGGGCTAAACTTTTGTAAAGCTATTTCGTTTTCGGGATTTCGTTTTATAACGAAAGCATTCGAAACTTTTTTTTGTTTGGCAACGCGCAAAAGCTATTTCCAAAGTATTTCGTTTTGTAATTTGGGGTTTTTTTAAAAAAAATTATTAATTTAAATTTAATTGCTTTCGTTATTGGAATTGGCTGGATTATTGTTACAAATTGCTATAAGGTTTTTTCGTTTAATTATAGCTAATTGCTTGCAAAAAAACCATTTTGTTGCATTTTTATCGAAATGGTAAATAACGCAATGGTTATTGGTGCATGCAATTTAAAAAAACGCAAAGCCGGAACAATCGCTATCCTTTGGTTTTATCGCTACTTTTTTGGTTATTGCCGCCGTTTTTATTTTTTTATTTTAAAACATTTTTTTTTGTTTTTTTTTTTAAAAGCAATTTTTTTTAATATGCCCAAATTGTTTATATTAAAAGCATTTGCCATTTTTAAAATTTTGGAATTTACGTTTCCTTTGCTTTTAATGTATAGCGCTGGCGTTAAAATCCATAAAGCCGGGGTAACGATTATAAGCTATAAATTTGTTGCGGTTAAACCGTTATTGCAATTAATTGCTTTATATTACAAGTTTGGTTTTTTGGCTTTTTTTTTTAAATAGCGTTTATACAATTTGTTACTGGTTTTAACTATAATAGCAACGTATTTAGCGAAAAATTTGGGTTGGTTAACTTTTAAAATTTTGTTTTTTACGTTATTTTGGAGCCCATTATATAAATGGGCCATTTTGGTTTGGTTGGTTTAATTAAATTTGTTAATAAAGCGTTAAAAATCGGAAACGTACTTTAACGTTGCGCTTTTTTATTAAAGTTAAAATATTTTTCTTTTAGCAATTTGCTGTTTGTTAATTTGGCTAAATACGTTAGTAATTTTTTTTTCGAATCGGGCAAAATTAGCAAAAATGTTGGAACTTACTTGTTAAGCGCATGCACAGGCTTTGGAGGATCGCCATGCACAAATCCTGGATTTGTGCACCGGCCATCCAGAACTCCTTTGTACCTATATAAGGAGGTTGGATCCGTCCCTTTCTTTTAGGAAGATTCCTTCCTCCTTAAACCTAAATAACAACATTTTAACTTAATTACCTTTTAATAATTATTAACCCTTAATTTTACGCCGTTTGGAGCTTTACAAGCATAAAACTCCACCCTAAAGTCCTTTTTACAAAAAATAATTTTAATTTTTTTTTTGCTTTCGTTATAGCTTTTAAAAAAATTTGCTTATACGGGCTCAAACCATTTTTTAATTTTGCTTTTAAAATAAAAGGTTGCGTAAGCAACCTTTTGCTATTCCGTATTAAATTGGTTATAATAAAAGGCAAAAAAGTTTTGGCATTTCGTTAAAAAAGCTTTAAAAGCCCCGTTTTTTCCATTATAGCGATTAAGTGTAAGGAATTTGTACGCTTTGGTAGCTATACGAAAGGTATTAATTTAAGCTTATAATTAAGTTACTGTTTGGAATATTGCAAGCAACGCTTGGGTTGCTTGGTTTTTTTCGTTTAAATTATATCCAATTTTTTTATAAGTAAAAGTGTTAAGTACTTTTTTTTCGTTATTGTTAGGAACGGGGGCTTGGGCTGGCTAAGCCGCTATTGCTATTGTTCGGTACCGGTTCGGGTGCTAAACAGGATTAGTTAAAATGTTACAATTAAACCTTTGCTTTTAAAGTAAGGTACCGGAAAAGTATTAAGCAATAGCACGTAATTTAACAATTAAAAAAATTTACAAAGTAATTTGGGTGCGGTTTAAATGCTTGTTCCAAAAAGTACTTGGAAGTTAATTTAAATTAATTAATGCCAATGCATTTGTTAAAAATTACTTAAAACAATAAAAAACCTTTCCTTTTTATACCTTAATGCTTACTTTTTTAAAGGCCGTGGATTAATTGGCTTACCAAGCCGTCCTTGTAAGCTTTTTTAAGCTTCCTTTGGATTAGTGGTTTACCTTTTTTATTTTTTTAATCCATTGATTTCAGGTGGTTACGTAATTCCTTACCCTTTATGGGGGTTTCCGTCCCGTGCCACCCCTCCCCCTTGGATAAGGGTGGTTGTTGGTCGTAACATGTTGGTTGTAACAGTTAGCTATTTTAGCTAATATTATTAAAAATAAAACGGTTTATAAAAGGTTTGGTTATATTGCAAAGTTACAAACCAAAAGCCCGTTACTTTAATAAAATTATATAAAGGGTTAAAGTTACGGATTATACGTAATGATAAGCGGATAAAAATTAACGCTTTTTTATTACCGTTAAGCAAGTAAATAAAGCTTTAAACCTAATTTCTTTCCGGTATATTTATTTTAAAAGGTTAAATACGGCAAAATCGAAAGGTTGCAATACGTAAAATAAATGGGCAAATAAATAAAGTAAAAAAATGTTATTCCGAAAGCACAAAAGCATAAATTTTATAGTAACGTGCAATTTGTGCTTATCCAAAATTAAAAGGCAAAAAGCAGGAAAAAAAAGTTTAATGCGAAGGATAAAAACCTTTTGCAGCCATTTTAAGCCTGTACGATTGTTAGTTTAACCGTTATTTATAACGGTAAATTCCCACTTTCGGAAAAGGACCAAATTTGCAAAAAACCATTGCTTTTGCACGCTTTTTTCTTTAAAAATAATAAAAAGAAGCAACAATACTTTTATAGCCAAAATGCATTCGATAAAAAAAATTTAAATGCGTAACCCGGGGTTTTTGCATTGCAAGACCCGGGCCCTAACAAAGCTTAATACAATTCCGTTGCCGGTTTTTCCTTTTTGCAAGCTACTTTTGTTAGCGTTGTAAGTGTTTTCCGGTTTAATAGCGGCCATTTCCAGGATAAAAAAGCGTTTTTACTATTGCTTTATTATAGCAATAATAACCTTTTAAATACGTGCGTTTTCGATGCGCCGGGCCCTTCCGCTTTTAACTTTTGGATATTAGCTTAAAAAGGGTTGTAACCAATGCTTTCCAAGCAATTAAAAGGGTTTTCCGTTGCGGAAAATATTTTTAGCAAAAAACCGGATTTCCGCGTGCGTTAGTAAAAGGCTTAAAAAGTCCTGCAATAAAATCCAATTAATTAAGCGCTTTTTTTGTTTAAAAGTTATTTGTTAATGTTTTTTTTATAATTTCCGAATAAGTAAAGCGTTTTTAAAGCGGTTATATAAAATTAACCTGGAAATTTTATGCATGCAAGCGGCTTTGCAAATTTCAACTTTTGCATGCACCGCAGCAACGGCCCTTTCGACGTTTTTTTTTGTATATGGTTTTTCCAGCATTTGGGCATTAAATTGCAAAAAAAAGTAAGGAAAACGAACCAGAATTAACAAAAATATAAAAGCGGAAGTACTTTAAAAAATTCCATGCTGTGGGGCTACAAAGTGTCCGAACAGGGGGTGCACTAACTTACCGGGGAAGAATTGGAAATGCGCTAAGGAAAAGAAATTACTTGGAGGATTGTTAAAAGGGCTGCGAGCTCGCGGAGGAGGAAAAGGGAAGACTTACGGCTGTTGCTGCTATTGTTGTTATTGCTGCTGCTGATGGTGGTTATTAGCCGGATTGGGAAAAAAAGCCGGGAAGAAAAAAAGCAACGGAAGCTACGAAATGGAACCGGAAGTAAGGCACGAATAAAGGAAAAAAGGAACAACAGGCAAGCCCAAAAATTTTACGAAAACGTGCATTTAACAACCCGATTTACACGCAACGGCCGAACCACCTTTACAACCAAACCACGATATTTTACTTCGAACATTAACTTTTCTTTCTTTTACTAACCGGTAAAAGGTGCGGGAGCAAATTACACTACCAATACATTACTTACAAAAAGGACGCGAAGTTGCAAAAACTTCGAAAGGAAGGAGTTTTTACCCAGCCTTATACCAAATAACTATTAGCTGGAAGCACGGTTTTTACCTTTACGTAATTAACCCGAGCCGTAAAGCTTTTTATGGGCTATATAGCTCGAAAGGGGTAAATAAATATATATATATATACTTTTATTATTGCTTTTATTTTCGGGTTTACTTTTATTTTTATTTTTATTTTTACTTTTTACTACCGTTTTTATTTGTAATATTATTAATATTATTAATATTATAGTTTTTATTATTGTTATTGCTTTTTTTATTGCTTTTACTATTACGGTTTTTGTTAGTTTAATTACCGTTTTTATTGTTATTTTATTATTGTTAAATATAAAATCGTTAAATATTCATTAAAATTATGGAAACATATGCGCATTTTATGTAAAAAAAAAATGACTAAAAATAACTAAATTAGTTACTTTAGTCAAAAAAAATTTAGTTAGTCATTAGTTAGTTAACCCAGTAACTAAGACTAACTAAACTAATTTAGTTACGACTAAGACTAAAGACTAACGACTAAATTCCCAACCCTGGGGCCAGCACACCATCATTTCTGACACAAACATGCATCTACCCACCCCCGATCGTGGCAGGAATTTCGTGCGCAAGCTCAGCTCGGGCTGGTTGCGGATCCGTGTGATAGCTTGCCGTTTGAAGCTGCCTTTTGTGTGCTGGCCGTTGGTCGGCCCCCTGCTGACGTTTCCAGCATGTGTCGCAGACAAACCGCGGTGTGGGCTGCAATGGAGTCCTGGGCCGCCATATGCTGCGAAGCATGTTCTTCAACACGCAGCCAGAGGAGGGGAAGAAGGCCTCCAGATAGTAACAGTGCGTTTCCTGATTGTCAGGTTTGTTACATGATCTGTCGATGCTTCGAACCAGCGTACCTACATTGCGCTTGATCTGACCCTGCCTAAACGCCGCTTTCGGAAACGGTTTATCTACCAGCATCCGTCACACTCACGAAGAAAACACGGGCCCCAAGCTTACAAACCGATGGCGTGCACTTCCGGACGCATTGGACACTACCAATGGTTATCCGAGTCCGACGCCTCCTGCTCATCGAGAGCTTCACCGCAGTACTCGTCCGCTAGCTCGTTCTCGTTCCTCGGTACCCAAACGTAGCTAATATCGCCCTGAGCCCTTAATTTGCCGTCGAGACGGTCGGCCTTTTGGATTAAGTCGCGGTTGCACACCTCGAAGCCCCGGGAGTTAACCCAGTCGTTGGCTCGCCATTTGTCCACCCAGACGTTCAAGATGTTAACGGCGTACTTGGAGTCCGAGTAGATGGTGATATCGAGCCAGGGGTCGTTCGAGAGGCCGTTGTACACCTCCAGCGCCCATTGCTGCGCTAGAATGATTGCCGTGATCTCGGCCCGCTGGTTCGTCGGGGTCGGATCCCTGGGCAGGTTTCTCGTCTTGTACCGGCATTTGCCCCACCGGTTCTCCTTAACGCAAGCTGCGGCGCCGGTGGCCCAGTCCTGGCCGTTGCCTCGGCAGCCGCCGTCGACGCGGAAAACCATTGTGTAAACCATGGTTTCCTTGGGGCGGGCTTACTTGGGGGCCCTAGGAACTTGGCGTAACTGGCTTTCCCCCGTGATCCACGCCTGGAGTCAGCAAGGCATGCTTTGGGACAGCCCCGGCCTTTACGCTCGACTTACGGCTAGGGGGAGGGAGGGTGGTTTGTGCACGCGAATCGTGCTGTTGCGACTGCGACCTATCGGCTGGCAAGAAGGACGCGCGTTAATTTTAATATGAATTCGATGTTGGTGAAGGTTTGATAGTTTCAATGGCTCAGACCTGCCATCACAAAAAAGTGCCCTCCGGGCAGGGTGCCCGGGGCAGGGCCCGGGCGGGGCCAAGGGTGCAGTGGCGTTGTGGCTTATAGGTTACTGCAGGTATTTGTGGGGCGGCCATCTTTTTGTCAATCACCCCCACGAAGGGACCACTCGCTTTATTGAGCCAAGACATGGGGCATTTACAAAACGGTCGCGATAGGCGAGCCGCAGATTCCGCAAGAAGGATTGGAGGCTGCTCGGCAGGCCGCTTCGCGTGGATAACGGGTGCAATATGAATTACTACAAAAAACACACGTACTTTATCGGTATCCGTTTAAAGTGCCGCCCTTCAACAGTTTTTAAGTTGGAATCCGACACCCTTGCGCATCCTGGGCACGGCCTGCTGCACTGGACGGTGTGGGTGAATATTGCCCACCGCTATACCGGCGCCGAGGACGATTCGACCGTGTTTATAACCGAATGCTGAAAAGCGGTCTCTCCCCAGCTACCCATTCCGTCCCTTACCCCATCTATCAGCCTTTCGTAACGATGATAAATAATTAGGCCGCCCATCCGTAGTCCTCCGCTTCCGGCGATGCTGTTCGATTCCACCTTCGTTACTTCCCTCGGTTTCCGCATGCTCCGGGCGCGGCCTTTTCCTACTTGGGCTCGAGTCGTCGCTTGTGGATTAACCGCTACCCAAGGGGTCGTCCTTGGTATTTGCTGCTTTTCCGTTCGACCGTTCCGACAGTGTCGCGGGCGGACTTGCCACTCTGCTAAGCCTTTTTAAATCCGCCTCTGTGCTATTGGGCCACTTTTCGGCATCCCTCCCGGGCGTCGGGCTCGACGGAGTCTGGTTTGGGCTCGCAGGCGTCGCAAGGCCGTTTGGCTGGGAAATGGCAATACTTTGCGCGCCGCGAACGGGTCTATCTTTGCGTAATGCCGTAGCTGGAGAATTCGTTGTTTCGCGTTGGCTTAACCTCTCGGCTGTACGAACGTTTGGACATATGGGTGGAGGAGGCGTTGCGGCTTCGGGACCGGCGGCCACTTTCCCGTTTGCTGGGTTGGGCCCTGTAAAAAGGCATTCGATCTGCGTCGGGGCGGCGGCGGGCGAGGAGGCGGCTTCGGGGGGTTTAACTGGGGTTTGGGAGCTGTTGTTGTCCTTATCCTTGTCCTCGTCCCCAACCTCCACGATGCTCCGTAGTGGCGACGGGCGGGAAGTGGCGTGGAGGGGCTCGGCTGCGGGTTGGTCGCTGTTGTACTCGTCCTCGGCCTCGATCTCCACTATGTTCCAAGTGAAAGTAAAGTTATCCCGCCCTTCCTCGACACGTTCATCCCCAAAATCGTAATCTGGCGGGTGAATCGGCGACTGTCCCGTGGGGCACGGACTTTCCCCACGTGCCTCGTCGTTTTCAGCCTCGCCCGTTTCGACCTTTTCAGCAACCATGCCAAGCTCCTTCAATTTGTCGCTGCGCTCCTTCCCGTCGGCAAGGACGGCATAAATAAGCTCCACGAGACCCTCCAGACTAGGCTCTGACCCTGTCTATCGCGCTGGCAGTCCACTTAGGCAAGTTCTCGATCCCATTGCAGTGCCACACTGTTCCGCGAATTGCGTCGTCGTACTCTTTGAGGCGCGCCTTGTACTTTTTGGCGAAAAGCTTCTCGAGCTCGGCGCGGGTTTCGGACTCTCGGGCGGCGGCGAAGGTGTTGGTAAAGTACGAATTTTCGTGTTGGAAAGGGATGGTAACGGTGTTGAACCGCTCCCAAAAGGTGTCCCAAAGCTTTGCGGGATGGTTGAAGGTCCTGGGCGCCTTCCTGACCCATGTCGTCCTTGTCGCCTGTCCACCTCGGTGGCCCAAAGGGCATCCTAAGGTCTTCGTTTTCCATTTTAATCCGGGTCGCTTGTTGGGTCTCAGGTCGCGGGGGAGGGCTTCGATTTCAGGATTTTGACGGTTGCACTTTGCCAGCGTTGACGGTCAAGGGCTTCGGGGGTTGGGGAAGAAAAGAAATCCATTCAGCGCTCCAGCAACGCTAAATCTGGGGTAGCGTTACGAAGAGACTCATCCCTGTCCAATCAAAGGGGGCTGCGAATGCTGGGATCCAGCGGGTGGCGCGCGCAGGTTAGCAGTGCCGCAGAGTGGGTCCAATCCATGTGGGGCATAGTCCCAATATTCGAATGCAGGGGTTCCTGACCCGCTTCCCCGGCCTCAGTGTAAGCGCCCAACCATCGCGCTTCCCGAATATCCTTAAACGCTGGAGGGAGGATGGAGCTCAAGCAAGGGTTTGGGGCGGGGAGGAGGGAGTTGGAGGGGAGGGGCATTTAACAAGCAGGCCTCCTCTTTCCCCGTGGTGACGTACAAGACACATTTCAATGACCGGGTATCCCCAAGATCATCCTAGCATACCCGTCCGTAATGGCTTCACAGTCCCGCGGCTCCACGGTGCCGACCCAACCCTTCAGCAACCCAGACGAGTTTCAGCGACGTGTGGAAGAGCACCTCGCCGAAAGACGGGCTGCCGTCGCTGAGGCCGCGCTCATTTCTGCGGTGCCTCCAACCTCGGATGCTTTGGCCGCCACGACACCTACCGATCTCGAGATTGACGATGTGGCCCGCGCATTCCGAAGCGCGTCTCTCGCCTCGCTCCCCGACGCACGCTTCGTCCTCGCCACAGCCACGTCTTTAGAAGGCGACGACGATAAGCCCGCCGTAGTGCGCTTCCCGCATAACGTTGGCACCTGGGACGTGGTCGGTGTCGTACAGCGCACCCACGACGTCGACTTTACCATTTGCATTAAGTTTTACGACCTTCCGGTCCCGGGCCCGATTCGCTGGGGCAGATGTATCGCTTCCAACCTCCATTGCAGAATATATTACAACCCGGCCAACGACGATTGTGTGCTGCAAAACCTTTCAAAGGCGGTGGCTTTCACTTTCGAATCTGCAACGCCGCAATACTGCGCGCTCTTGGAGCCCTTCGATACCTTCGTAATAGCACCGGGTTTGTGGAGGATATCGATCGGGGGCGACGGCTGCAGGGGCCAACACCTTATCGATTTCCTGATGCTACGCAGAAGCTTTACGGTGTTTTTGCACAAGCTTACAACGTTAGCGGGAACTTCCAACAAACGACCGAGCGGCCCCGACAACAGCCGCGAGCAGGAAATGGTTTCTAAGCGACGACGTGCAGATGACGGCGACGTCCTGGAGACCATTATCGCCCCGCTCGGGACGCCAGTGTCCGATGTGATGGCCCTTGGCTCTGCCCCCAAAGCTGTCGACGTGAGCAACTCGTCAGACTCTACCACCATCTACACCCCAAAGCCGATTCAAACCCGTGGGACGCCGCTTCTCGACCTCGAGGGTCAAGACTTTGCAATCGTGCGTACCAATCAATTTGGAACAACCGCCCGAGGCAAGCCGGACAGCAACAGCAGTGTGAAGGACCCTGATCTCTTAGTGCTTTCGGCACCTTAGCCCACGGACACGGTTAGCTACCGTCTGGGTCGCCTCCAGTATATCGCAAGCACGGCAACCGCTAACGTATTCGTCGAATATAACCTGTTAAATTTTGGTTAAATTTAAGCTTAAATTGGCCGAGTTAGCAAGGGTGTCGAAAAAGCGTTTAATACGTAATTTCGAAGTGCGCTACTCACTTGTATGCGCCGCTCGCTTGTGAACCACGTTATAGGAAAAAAAGGAAAATAACGCGGGCTAGCCGAAAAAAAAACATAAAAAAAACATAAAAAAAACCGTTCCTTTTTTAACTGCCCCGAAACAGGCAAAAGCCACCTGGCACCTTACGGCCGAACGTAAAAGGTATTTAGGCAGGAAAGCTATCCTTAACAGTATTAACGCCAATTTAATTACCAATTGCCCCCGTTATCGGCCCACACCCGCCGGCCCCGTACCGCCGACCAGTTATAAAGTTATTAAAAATGTAATAACTTTAAAACCCAAAGGGCAAACCCTCGCCTTAAAAGCAAATGCGTTACCATTGCGCCACACGACTAGTAAAACGGTTAAAAATATTACTAATTCCCCAACCCAAAAACCAATAGGTTTTAGGCATTGCCGAAACGTTAGCGCCTTAAAAAGGGGATAGTGTAAAGGATTTAATAGTGCCACGGCAAATTACCACCTCGGAAATGGCGCAGGCCCGGGGGCCCCACGCCACACGAAAGCCTTAGCTACGGAAATCCCACGGGCTGGAAGGCCCGCATCGCACAAGGGCCCAAGCATCCCGGCGAAGGTGCTTTAGGCACCTAGGCACGGGCCAAGGGGTTACAGAACTTAGGCAGTTTAAGCGAGGTAATTTTAAGGATTGCGAGGTCAAGCTAAAGTTATCGCATCTAGCTTATAGTAATATAGGCCTTCGGCACCTACAAATCGTTTAGTATCATCGTAATTACCTCGTACAGGCTTTCGGCTTACCCCGTAACAATTTTAGTTTTTAAACTGTTATAAAATGCATACATTTTCTTTTAAAAACACTAACATTTTGCATATCTATTTTTAAAATTTAAATTGTAAAAAATAGTGTTATAATGTGCAACTATGCTATATACCAGATAAAAGCCCTTGTTTTAGGCTATGGAACGATATTTACCTCATTTTTTACGATTTTTATTCGAGTTCAGCTATCCCCTTGGGTGCCGTTAAACTGCCAGCGCGCAGACCGCTCCCCATTAGCCACCCAAACTTCAAAATTTTCGGTACCTCTCTTTTGGTGCGATTTTGTCTACAACTTAAGTACCGAGCTAAGTCGCAGTTACGGTGCGGCACGCCAAATACTACCCATTGTTCCCCGCAAATCCGTACTGTAGACAAACAGGGGCAAGCTCAGAAGCTCGTTTCCTTTTGAGGACGCTGGCAGTCCAGCGGCACTCAAGGGGATAAGGTCTCTGCTAGGTTTCTTATGCACGAGTCACCGATGCCTTCCCCCATTTGGCCGTCTTCGGAGGGCTCCGCCTCGATAGCGGTGGGCTCACGGCTTGCCTTGGGTGAGAGGCCAGGAGGTACTCCCAGGGCGCGACCTCGGCAACAGTGCAGGTTCGGCCTCGGCGCGCGCGACAACTACTCCCCCGGGCGCGTCAGCGGCCCTGCCACACCGCGCGTCGGTCCGTCAGGGAGGCTGGAGGACGACCACATGCTCTCCCCATCGGTCGTCCGGGAGGCTGCCGCAGCGCCTTGCGGCACGTCCTTGAGCTCGTAGCCGTACCCGCCCGCTCTGCTGCCGCCGTCGACACCGTCGTCGATCCCGTCGATGCTGGCCAGCCGCGCGGCCCCGACGTCTCCCGGGATCGCCGACAGGCGCGACTGCTGCCTTCGGTGGTGGCGGTAGCTCGACGCCTTGGACAGCTGCGGCTGCCCGCTCCCCGTAGCGCCCGAAAACGCCCGGCCTCCCGCCTTCCCGCTCCCCCCCGTGCCCGAGGCGGCGGTAGAGCCGTCCAGGCGCAAGACGCGCAGGTACGGTCTAAGGGGCGGCAGGCAGGCGATGATCAGGCAGATATACTGGTCGAGAGCGCAGTACAAGTCTATTGTTGTTTTCGGGTTCGAGCCGAACAGGGTTAGTGCCCAGCTTCCATGATCAACCGGAACGATTTGACAGACGCATATCGGGAAGCGAGGTAGGGCCGCGCGATCCACATACCGAGGGCTGCCAAGGTTACATTGGTTATTGACCAGCGGATCCAAACGTAGCGAAGGCAGCTTCCTACTGCAAGGTCGATGAATCCGAGGCCGAACGTGGCGTAAAGGCCGATCTTGACCGAGGTCTTCATCTTCATGCCCTTCAGAATCAGGAACGGCAGGAGGAAAACTGTACTCCCTTCCTCCCTCCCTGGTTAGCGTTCCGTGGTTATTGAGGATATTTATTTCTGAATTATCGCCGAGGGTGCCGTACTCAAGACGGAGGAGGAGAAGTGAATCCCCCACATGATATCAGTGGCTATTATAAATGAGCAGACATCTTCCGGTATGGTCGACCTGGAGAAGTCGGCGTTAACCCACAGTGGCCAGCCGGGCGACAGGCAAGAGGGGGGCTCGAACAACCAAGGGCGGCTTACCAGTTTCGTTCGACCGGAAGGCACGATAGAATCAAGACCAAAATGGTCGCGATGAAGCCCACGACGCTATATGCTATCGTAGCGTATAGCAGGTGTCGTTTGGCTTTAAGGTGCCGGGGGAAGAGCTGCAGGTACACGGACAGGATGGCGAACTTGGCCAAGTAGAAGCCGGAGTAGAAGAAGAAGGTTGCGACGTAGGCGCACTAAAGACGGAAGCCGGGAGCATGTTAGTCGCAACGAGAGCGAAAAAAAAACACGAGTCTCCTGGCCCTGCATGGATAAAGTGCCTGCAGGACCGACACCAACTCGGGAAGCAAACCCCTGAGGTCTCGAGCACACGCAGCGCGGGCGCACCTTTAGGTAAAGAACAAACTCATCGGTGCTGCCCTCGTAATTTTCGAACGTCATTAGGAGGGCCGAATCCCACCGCATGCTGAGGAGGAGGACGTCGCCTGACGACGAGACGAGCGCGCACACCCAGGCGACGAGGATGAAGTAGTCGCTGGTCTCGGGCCGTTTGCGCTGGATGCCGAGCCTGAGGTAGAAGCGGGCGGATACGAGGAAGAGGACGACCAAGGCGAGCACGCTCTGGATCGCCTGTCGGATCGGGCAATGACGGACGTTAGCACCGACCTCTAGTTACAAACTGCGTGGAGAGAGGGCGAATGTAGGCCGTGGCAGAAAAGGGGGTTCACGAACCACACTCGACCCGAAGGTGATGCCGCCCATCGTGCTGGACTGAGACGCAGTGATCCACTGCACGGGATCTTGTCAAGATCTACAAGAGCTGCGCACGAAGCCTGGGGATTGTCTCTGTCAGGTTTCCAAGCAGTGTGGTAGGGAGAAGAGGTTGCGTGTTGCCGCGTCGCAAGCATCCTCTTTTAAGGCCTGGGGAATGCCGATTTGCCGCGGAGGAGACTTGGGCCGTCGGCGGTGCTTCGTGGGAACGAAACGCCTCCGCACTAGCACCCTGACGGAGAAATCCGAGAAAAAGAGAGGTCGAGGCTTGGCCGTCGTCTCGATAGTCTAATGGGGCTTTCGTTGGAGCGGCGCCACCAGGGGATAGCCAAAAGTGTCAACCAAGGACACACCATGAAGCTGAAAGCCGGGGTGCTGTGCCATAGCGGCATTAGCGCCCCGAAGGCTCGGTCTCATTGCTTCATCACTCACACCAATGTGCCCTGGCCTGGGGTTTGGAATGACGCCCGTGCATTAGTGCATGACGGCGCCGATGCGCCATCTCCATCCCCCTCGACATCACGTCCGAAGGAGCGGTGTCATGTACGGGGAGGGACATGGCCTTGCCCAAGCGTGGTGCGTTGCATGGAGCACACGACCGCGCGCCGGCTGGGGCTCTTCCAAAGCCCTACGAAGAGGCAGGTGCACATGCCCCAGGCCTCGCAAGGTTATCCCGGTGCGGCTTCTCGACGTATCGCACCGGATACCCGGCCAAAGCCGTCCACTGCCACGGAACAGAACCAATGGCACGCACACACAACGCCCCCCTGCAGGACTAAAACGCCCCTGGCAGCCCTAAGCAATGCCAAACAGTGCCGCCACCGCTGATCACTATACAGTAAGGAGAATATTAGAGGTGAAAGGTGTGCCGACGCCGGTGAGTGCCTAGCACACGTAGCCGATTTTTGAAGGTACCGATGGTCCGAGTTTTGCGGAAAACGAGGAGCCAACAAGGGAATCAGGTCGATTATCGTTTTGGTGATTGCGTATGCTTGCTCATCTCAAGGATGGCTGGAGACGATAGGAGACGGCGTCCAGCTGCGACACGCACGACCATGACAGAAGCGGGCAGCTGCAAGGCAGCGAAAAAAAAAAAAGCATTTTCTGGGTTCCTCGAAGTCTGCCATCGCTCCAGTCCGAGAGCATCTATAGCCTAGATCAGCTCCAAGGCTGCCCAACGACACAACCCGGACCGGATGGCCCGGCGGAGTGGCATCGACGGTTTCTCGGCCTACTCAGATGGCTTCCTCGAGGTCTGGCATGGTTCCAGTCCATGAACAATTGTCGCCTTGAGCACAGAAATAATTCCTCTAGCAATCGACGCGGCTCGCTCGTAGTCTTAAAGGCTTGCTGGGACCAAAACCCATTCTGCTCTCCAGGACCTCTGGTAGTACAAGACAAAAAGCGGTGGCCAACCCCGCAGGGAACAGAAAGGACAGCCGCCAGCAGGTCAGGAAAGTGGAGACTGGTCACGTGATCACAGTAGTTCCGGGCTGTAATAAGCTTAAATAAGATTGTCGGGAGTCAAGGACAGGGCGAGAAAAAAAAGGGGGAGCAGCCACCTGACAAGCAAGGACAAGAGCAGAAGGACACGCAGCAGGTGCTACTCACAAGGGGAAACCGCGCTAGCTCCGGTGGCGCGTTCGGGTGCATGCGGGGCTGGACCGGGGGGGGGGGGGGGTGGGGGTATAGTACGGACGGGGTCGGGACGACGGAC